TTTGACACTCCAAAATATATCACCCCTTTTTTTTTTACTTTGTCTGTACGAAAATAAGGATCTGAAGACCACTTTATTGGAACCGAAAGATTCCAACTGCCCCCCGTGCCCCTCCAAACAAAGCATTGTCATAATAGAAGGGCAGAGCACACCCCTTCCTCTTTCCACTCATAGAAACAATTTCAAATTGTTATTAGCCTTTTAAATCAGATTTCTTTACATATAGAAGAAGGGATTATTAATCTATTCTCCTCCAAAAAAAAAAGATATTTAATCAAAGTGGTTTCCATAGCAACACAAAGAGACTCACTCTCTCGGGAGTCAGGCCTACAAGTGTATGTAGAGCCTATTGTGTTTCTCACTATTTCCTTTGTAGAAAACCTTTTTTTTTCTGGAAGCTCTGGGCCTTATTATTAAATGCATGCATAGAAAACAGAAAAAGAAAAAACACATTAACTAGATAATGTTCCCTCGGGGGAAAAAAAATGTTGTTTTTCAGTTTTATTTACTTGTCAATATTTATACAGCAGTATTTGAGCACCCACCACCTATTTGTTTCCTTGTATGATTATACTCAACTTCGGTATCTCCAGCCTGCACCATTACTTCAAAGTGAATAACACCAGATAGAGAGAATGAGATTGGATCGGACAGGATCCAGTGAAACATATTATCCTGGTCACTGCTGGGAACTATGTTCTGAATCCCTATGATCTACACATTCTATAATCATACCAGGCCTACAAACTGTCCTCCCAACTTTCGGCAGAGCGGTGCCTATTTCAGGGTCCTGCTCCTCCATCCTGAGTTTATACTCTGGTGTCCCACTTTTGAGGACACTAAGGAACTGTCCCTAGAACCATGCAGAAAGCTCTGTAACAGGGCTCTCTGCATGGTCTGCTGTTAGGGGGCAGTTCTGTGTGATTGGCAGATTATGGCCAGGATATATCTAACCTTTTTACCTTGATTGGACCTCCCCAATAACAACTTTCTGAAAATGTAAAGTATTTTTCAAAGATTCTTTTCTAATTTCTTTATGGGAATGTGAGGAGTAGTACATTTAAAACTGAGCTTTGCTGTGTATATATGATGATCGAAAGTATTACGTCTAATTATTTATCTCAAATGTATTATTTTAGGACCCAACCAATGGCTACTACAGTGTAAACACATTCAAGGACCATCACTCAACGCCAACAATTTCCCTTTCCAACTGCCAGCCGGACCTTCGACCAGCAAATAAGCAACGGGTTCCTACAGGCATGTCTTTCACCAACATTTACACCACTCTGAGTGGCCAGAATCGCCTCTATGACTACAGCCAGCGCTTTGTCTTGGGCATGGGCAGCAGTTCCATTGAGCTTTGCGAGCGGGAGTTTCAGAGAGGATCCATGAGCGACAGCAGCTCATTCCTGGACACTCAGTGTGACAGCAGTGTTAGCAGCAGCGGAAAGCAAGACGGCTACGTTCAGTTCGACAAGTCGAGCAAGGCATCAGCCTCTTCTTCACACTACTCTCAGTCATCCTCTCAAAACTCTGACCCAAGCAGGCCTCTTCAGAGGCGAATGCAGACACACGTGTGAAATAGGCCTATATGGGGCATTGTGTCAAATATACGGGAGGGCTGGAAAGATGTACAAGAGTTGGGTGGCAATGGTGGAACTTCCAGAAAAAAAAAAGATTTTGGACATCCTGGAGTCTTAAAGAAAGGAATGGCCTCTCTGGTTGAGATATTTATTTAGTTTTATATTTATATGAAAAGGAGAGGATATTCCTATTGTAAAAAAAAAAATGGAAAATCAAAGCACTTTGTTTCAAAAGAGTACAACAAGCCATGGTTCTATGAGTTAGGTAGGAGGAAAAAAAGAACCTTTCATAAACTATCCCAAAAGAAAAAAAAAATGTATGATAATAAAAAATGAGCTCCCATTTCTGACTTGGAGCCTCGGCCCGGATTTTAATTGTCTCAACTAGGAATTTAGCCATTAGCAAGCACAATGTTGATATATTAAACACAGTCTTTGATAGTCTGAACGTACACATTCTGGAGATTCAGAAGCTATTCTAGAGATTTAAAGAATGTTCCAGATATTAAGATGCTGTTTCTGACATTCAGAGGCTGGAGGGTTATTATATAGTTACATCATTCAGACAGAATGTCATCTCTTAAGACGGATTCCTAAAGCGCCCACCGAGATACAAATATAGCTGTTCCAGCAGCCAGACTCTTCCTCAGGAGTGAACGTAGGAAACACTTCCCACCAGGGCAAGTGACGGGACCTATATACATGTGTTGTTTGACATAGCAAACACAGCACCAATCTCTATTCAACACTTAGGCAAATAAATCAGTTTGGTGTCAAAGAAACCATAATCTGGCAAAATGGCCAGGAACATATACAGATATTTGTTGGTAGTGGTCATTTGTTTTTGTTTATTTTCTAAATTGGCCAACTGTGAACCCCCCTCCCCCCCATCAAAATGGTGCCGGGGTCACATTCTTGTTTGCAATAGATTATCACACTGGACATGTGAAAGGACTCATTGCTCCTATTTGTTTTTTTGTCATTCTCCTTTCCAAACAATTAAAACATAAAGATCTCTTGATTCAGTGATGTTGGTCACTGTCAGATCCCGTATCATATCCTTTCAATATTCTTATCTCCGTCACTGGTTTACTTTCATTATCTCACCTCTTCGTGGTATCGACACCCAAATGGACTGACATGAAATCATGCATAAGAACATATTTATGTATAATTTTTATACTACTTGTTGAGTTCATTTTGAACTATTCTCAATAGATTGGAAAAAAAAGTATTGTTTTTGGCATTGTCTCTACTATTTCATAATTCATTAAGAGTTGTCTGACATGCTGATGTTAATGTTGTGGATGCAAGTCCTGTCCATAACAGTAAGTGTCATCTACTAGGAACTACATTGTTCATTTTAAAGTCTTAAGGCCAGTCTTTCACATCTCAACCAAAACAAATGAAGTGGGTCTAGTAAGGTCAATAAGGTAAATATAGTAAGGTCAACCGTTAAATATTGTGCCAGGAAATTACTGATCAAGAAGTATGGTAAGTGATCTGATTGTGTTCTAGCACTGGACGTTCTTGTGAAAAGTTAAGAAAGAAAGAGCCTTGCTGGTTGGTACGGCCTGACAATCAGAGGGGGAAAGCCATGAACTACGGGACAGTACATTCCTGTCACCCATACAACAACTCCTATAATAGCACAAATTAAGGATTAAAAGTCAAAACCTGTTATGTCAAATATCTTTGGTTTGTCGTTTTCTTTTGGTTTGTTTTGTTTTTAAATATATTTTTAGAAATGACTTGATAATAGGGTTTAGTAGATATGCTCAAATTGTAAGTGAAACCCTAGCTTTAAGTATGTATTTCAATATTCCAACCCTGTTGTTCAGAAGCACAAATAAAACACACACATAATTGAGATATGCATTTCTTAAAGGATAGTGATAGGTAAAAAGTTGTCTTCACCCTATTCCATCACATTCCACCACATCCCAACACATTTTTTATTACATGTCATAGTTTACCATTATATTGAACCACAATTTCGCATCCCACCACATTCCATATTGTAGTATTTCATCATATTGTACCATATTCCATCAGATCCCACAACATTCTATCATATTGTACCACATTCCATCAGATCCCACAACATTCTATCATATTGTACCACATTCCATCAGATCCCACAACATTCTATCATATTGTACCACATTCCATCAGATCCTACAACATTCTACCATATTGTATCACATTCCATCAGATCCCACAATATTCTATCATATTGTACCACATTCCATCAGATCCCATTCCATTTCATCACATTGTACTACATTTCATTAGACCTCTCTACATTCCACCACATTGTGCCACATCCCATCAGATACCACTGAATTTCATCATATTGTACCACATTTCATCAGATCCCACAACATTCTAACATATTGTACCACATTCCATCGTATTGTATTACATTTCATTAGATCTCTCTACATTCCACCACATCCCATCAGATACCACTACATTCGATGATATTGTACCACATCCCATCAGATACCACTACATTCCACCATCATATTGTACCACATTTCATTAGCTCCTACTACATTCCATAATATTGTATCACATTCCATTAGATCCCCCTACATTTTATCATATTCTACCATATTCCATGAGATCCCACTACATTCCATCATCGTAAAACATTCCATCAGATTCCTCTACATTTAATCGTCACATTTTATTACACATTATAATACGCCATCATATTGTACCATATTTTATTGCATTCCGTTCTAACACGTACATAAAATTACATAATAGATTATTATTTTTATTATAATCCTTACTCACTGTCCTGTTAGGGGCGTTTTATTTCCCTAATTAACCTTACAGTGTAACAAAAAGTTTTTCCTATCATTGTGATCATTATACACACACATCCCTTATATTCCAACTGTATCCAGCCGCTTAGTGCTACATGTGGACATGTGATGTGCAGTAATTACTTATTAATAAAGAAGGCTGCTATACAGGTATTTTTTACTCCGAGAAGGAAAATAAAAGCTCTGTGCTGAGTCTTTTCTGATGTTGCTCAGTCCTGAATAACGGACAAGATGTAAGGATATGCCTATAGCAGAGCTAGGAGTTTCTTTTCAGTACACACAGCCTGAGCTGAGAGATAAGGGGCCACAAGACAAAGAACACTGTCCATGCAATCTGTAGCCGAACGCCAATATAAAATCCACGAATTCCGCTGGTCCAGAAACGAATCCACAGTCAAGCGCTGAAAACACCAAGGCAATATCCCCAACCTCCCAATAACCGGACGAGACACAGTTTTGGGAGTCAACTGAAATCCTTTAATCGGCACGACAATTTATACAAGTCCCCAGGCAAGGGGTTTCCTGAGTTCCTCCCCAGGGGCACTCCCAGAGGGGACTACATGGGGGACTTACAGTACAACATATTTCTCCCATCAGGCACTGCTGCACGAGAGGGATCATCCTCCCAGAATGCACCGTTAAGGGGATTATCCCCTCGTGCAGCAGAACCGGCAATTCACACAAAAATCTACAACTGTTACAATATACGGTGGATTTACACGAATGGACGTTCGGTAGATAGCTGGGGTCTGGGCGCATCATTCGTGAGATTGCCGCTCAGATCCCAGCTAAAATAACCGAACGCCGCACAGAAAACACATTTCTTTCAAAACACATGAAAAGAACCGATTGCTTTTAGTGAACCTGGTCCTGAAACTCCCGAACGTCCTGGAGGCTCAGCGGTGTTCGTGCCGTCGAATAACTATTGGTAATGCTATGCGTTCGACGACACGGACCCGCTGAAGAACAAGGGATCCAAGATGGCCGACCGCCGCATGGTCGGTAGTCGAACGACGGCCACCCAGGAGAGCCTCTAATAACCGATTGCAACAATGTTGCAATCGGTTAACTAGCGCCACACGCCTCTAAGTGTGTGGGCTATTAGGGGGTATCACGTTCGGTTCACGAACGGCTTTCTAAAGTGCCGTTCGTGAAACGAAAGAAAATCCCCATACAAAACCGCCATTTGCATTCGGCGGAAACAGCAGTACAGGCAATACAGAAAATACATTAATCCAATTAAACACAATCCAATTAAAAAAAACAATAAATACTTTAATGTAAAAAACCCCACAAATTTTTAATAATGTTTTTTATATAATGTATTGCACAAATTTGTAAATGTTGTAAAACCTCCGTCTACCCCCTTCTACAAAACCCCTGTACTGCCCCCTTCTACAAAACCTCTGCACCCCCACACACACAGTTACAGGCAGCATCACACAATCACAGGCAGGCAGTCACACACAGACAATTGCAGGCAGTCACACACAGTCAAGCACACAGTTACAGGCAGTCACACACACAGACATAGTCACATGCAGACAATCACATATAGAGTCACGGGCAGTCATACACACAGTTACAGGCAGACTGTCACACACAGTTAGAGGCAGACAGTAGCACACACACACATTTACAGGCAGACAGTCTCACAGACACAGTTACAGGCAAACAGTCACACACACACACACACAGTTACAGGCAGACAGTCACACACACACACACAGTTACAGGTAGTCTCACACACACATTCACACACCGTTACAAGCAGATAGTGACACACACACACACACAGTTACAGGCAGACAGTCACACACACACACACTTGCAGACCGACATACACACACACACACACTCACATACAGTTACAGGCAGACAGTCTCACACACACACTGACCGGTCGAGGCCAGTGAAACTTTGTTCTGTGGTCCTTGGTGTAGATGGTGCACCGTCAGGTTCTAAGGCAAAAAGGAAGAGAGGGCAGAGGCCGCCTGCGTTCTGCCCAGATGCCAGTTCCTTTTCCTGCAACACTCTCCCTTGTTGTAGGAGGGGACCAACTATCTCCCCTTCCAATAAATTGTCCCGCTGTTGGGAAAGGGAATCAGCCGTCTTCCCTACCAATAACAGGCTCAGCCGCTGGGAAGTGAAACCAGCTGTCTCTCTTCCCTGTAAGACATTCTGCCACTGGGGAGAGGGACCGCCTGTCCCTTCTCCCAATAACACCCTTGGTTTCTGGAGATGGGGAACAACACTCTCCCCGCCGGGTACCACACTTGCCTGTTGGGGAGAGAGACCGACTGTCTCCTCTCCCTGAACCATTTTCTCTCGCTGGGAGGGAGACCGACTGTCTCCTCTCCCAATACATTGTCCTGCGGGGAAGGAAGACCAACCGTCTCCCCTTCCACTATCACATTCAGCCGCTGGGGAGTGAGACCGGTTGTCTCCCCTCCCTGTAAGGCACTCTGCCGCTGGGGAGAGAGACCGCCTCTCTCTTCTCCCAACATCACACTTGGCTGCTGGAGAGGGAGGACAGCACTCTCCTCTACCCTGGGTTGCACACTGTGAAGAGGTATCGACTGTCCCTACTTCTACCGGTGGAGCGATCTTGGTCTTCCCTCCACCTGTCAGCTGCGGGTCTTCCCAGGACCAGTCGATAAGGTCTCCCACCTCTGGGTCTGGTTGGGGGGTAGGTGGTACAGACCCCAGGTCTCCTGATGACGGGCTTAGTTGTTGGGGAGGAGGGACGAATTAAAAGGTACATATTTTTCCCCAAGTTCTAGATGTACCCTAAATACATAGGGTACACCCCTAAATATGATATCCCCTGATTGACCTGATCTGGGTGAATAACATTTTTAAAAATCACCCAGATCGGACCAGGGGTTCGGGAGTTAGGGGCAAGTAAAGTTTTGACCGACCGCACAGGCAACAATATCCGAAAATAGTTCCATAAGTTTTGGCCTTGCGGTCGGTCTCCATTCGCAGAATAAAAGTCACAAAATGTTTGCCATCCATGGCTATACTGGTGTTCGTGTGAATCCCCGTGTTTGCATTAGTCTTTCTACCGAACGGCGGCTCGTTCGGTAGTTTCGGCAGGAATTTATGGAAGTCTGGAGGTCTCAGCGGTGTTTGCCTAGTCGAGTGTCCGATTTTAGTTCCAGACACTTGACGGCAAAACACCGCTGTTCAGGAGATTAAGATGGCCACTGCCACGTGTAAAACTCCCGAATGGCGGCCACCCATAGAACAAAGTACCGATTGTCAATTGGGGGTTTGCAACATTGTTGCAAATGGTAATCAGAGGCACACTTATCCCTGGGTTGGTCTGATTGTTCAGTAGTTTCACTTGTATAGTAAACGGAGTGATTTTACCGAACAATCAGCCGAATGCTGCATACAATGTGAATACATGGAATAGCAATACACAAAAGCATTTTAAAATACACAAATTTTGGTAGACAGCGCAATGTCCTGTGCGGCATAATTTATATAGTCCGAAGTCTCTACAATATTATATTATATGCCCTTGGCTGGTTCTTAAAGGGCCAGTAGTGCCATACAAAAATCCCATTAAGCCCAGCCATGGAGTTTAAAAGGTCACATCTTCCCGGGACCATAATCACTGGGCAGGAGGTGAGCAAGCAGCCCCCTCCAGGAAACCGAGGTAGACTCTTGTACAGGGGCTAGTCCGCTACACTTTCCCCCTATTTAGAGTGATGCTACAATAATCCTAATCATGATAAGCCAAGTCACGGTATAGCTGATATAGCTG